TGTTATTGTGAAATAAATTTTCACTGCTTCCCGATCGAACATAAACCGTTCTTGCTTCATTCATGTTAGTTCACGTCATGAGATATATGCAGGCTAAATAATTTGAAAAATTGTCTCTAGTAGTTTTTGTATCATTTGAAAAAGATCATTATACAGAATATACAAGTGTGACACACTCAAGCCGAAGATATCCCTGTATTTCAGTACCTTCGTGGGCCGCACTATTCGTAATACATAACCCGAGTGACAGCGTCAAACCCAGCCTTCTGCGATTCCGCGAAAAGGGCAAATTCTCGATATTTCACTTGGCGTTGACGATCTCGAAATAAGAAGGTCTACGCATACCAAAAATCAAATATCTGCTTTCAAAAATGACTAAAATACAAAGGTGTCTTCATCTTAAGTGTGTTATACCTACTGTATTTACGAGATGAGAAAAAAATGAATGAACAGTTGAACATTATTGGGAAATTGTATTGTATATACATTCAATTTCTTTGTCAACACAAATTATATTTTTTAAAGTAACTCAATATCTCAAAATTAACCTAATCTGAAGATAAAAAAGAGCAAATAAAAATATGACGAAATGATAATTTACCATAATGGATCACAACAGGAAATTAGCTTCCTCCCAGAAAGCTTGAAAATTATTTCAGTATTATGTAACCCACGTTCCTTGTATAGAATATAAACAGATGAATGTTCAGCTTACTTACTACATACCCAGCATCAGGTAATAGATTTAAAAATGTTCTATAATTGCTAAAAAAATTAATAATAACCGACTTATCTTCATGTAATAGTATATTGGAACTTCTCCAAAAACCATTCGGTCAGTTTCAATATTAAATCCAGCTATCAATTCTTGCAATTCAATAAGTTGATGTACCAATGCAGCCGTTACTACGTGGTAGATCTTCATGAAAAATGAGAAATGAAACTTTCTATGATTTTTTACCGCACTTTTATTTGGAACTAACGTTACTGCAGTTTCGTCCTATAAGCACATTTTCAAATAAAAGTGGTAAAAAACATAGAAAGTTTTATTTCTCATTTTTCATAATACAATTTACTTATGATACAGTAGTTTTCAAGGATTTCACTGTTATTGAAGTAATCCAACGCAGTTTTGTACTATTCGTATTATCCGGCCTTTCTCAATATTAAAACAAACGCAGTAAATCACATGGAGTAAGAAGTAAAAACTGCCTCACCATTTAAATTCCAACGTAAGCAAAACATAATACTTTTACAGCATTGTACGATAAGAAATCGACACAATCGCAAAACTTGTTAGCACTAAAATGCGATGTAATATAATTTTACAATGATTCTCAATTGAAAGTGCGAAATTAGCAAGTTCCTCAATTCTCAACTCTAGCAGTATTATACTATGAAGTAGAAATTTGTGTGTTTTGACTCTTTTATAAACTGGATGCAGGAAAAAATTATATTATTTTGTATTATAATGTATTATTTTGTGAGTTGCCTCGCTTTCTCGCCCTTAATCATAAAAGTTACTTCACATTGTCTATCTATAAATATTATAAAGCCTCCGTCGCGTTTGTAGATCTGTCTGAACGCCATAATCTCAAAAACTACCGAAATAATTTTCATACCGTTTTCACAAATCAAATCAAATCAAATTTATTTCAATTTTTCAGTACAAATATGTGAAATTTAGTCATTAACATATTATGTCAAAACCATTACAAATGGGTGAAATAAACCTAGGCATCAGAATGCCTGTTTGTGCTGTTTCACTCCACTCATAGTTGGAATATCATTTAACAGTACATGCTTACATAATTCAAACAAAAAATATTTATTTTTTATTGTCAATTTAGAACAAAAGAAACATAAAAGTGACAGTAAATTAATATTTGATTGAAATTACAATGGGGGTGAAGGTCGGAAGAAAGTAGACTGTAAGTTACCTCAGTATATGTCAAGTATTTTTGAATTTTCTAATATATACTTTTTGATAGCAGATTTGAATTTTTCAATTTTTGATATTGTTTTGAGCTCCATAGGAAGCTGGTTATATAATTTTGGCCCGAAAAAAAAGACGAATCTTTGCGTATGGGATTTTCGGTAATGGGGGGTTCTAACATTTTGATTATCAGTAAATCTAGTTTTTTTAAAAGTNAAACCACATGAAAACTCAGTTTATTACCTCCGACAGAAAAAACTACTACGATATCCCTCAGAAAATGTATATTTCTATCATCATTATATTCATGGTGTTATAGTTATTACGTGTTGTTAGATTAATAGAATGGTTTTGAAAAGCCTCGCAAAACTGCATTTTTTATATGAATATTATGTATTTTTTTAAAAATAATTCTGCTATCCGAGAATTGAAAAAAAAAACACAAAAATCAGAGCTTTTCTGAATATTGCCTGTGTTAGGCAACCATAAAACCTATAGCATATCATTCACATACTCAATATATGAACAATTTTGATATATTTCATGTAAAAATATTCAAAAAAAAATCATTCAAAATGCCTATTTTCCTATTTTCTACGCGCTATCGCATTCCAAGTAAATTCGTTCAAGAACTACAATTTATAGAAAAATCTACTCTTCAAACACCAAAATACTGTTATCCTTGGTAAACATTTCTGACTTCTTTGTCTATAACCATCATGCTCCGTTTTGAGGAATATTTTTTTTATAATGACTAAATCACATCAGATCAATGTAAATAATGCACATAAATCGTGAATAAAAGTATGTATCTATTACAAAGGTGAATCAAAAGTGCCTTTCAAACGATTCATCACCACTAACCTAACAGTAATATAATTTGTCGAAACTACTTTTCGGGTTTGTTGAACGTAGTTAGCAGATTTTCATGCCTGCCGTTTCATTTACACCTGCGGTAGACATTATTAAAAGCAATGAAGCAACGGACAAAGTGTGACCTCACAGCATATATTACGGATACTACAGATCACATAATGCTCAGTGAGAACAACTACGGCACTTGATTGTCTCATCGCCGCAGTATTAGACGAAGCGTCATAGTTCCGTGGTGGCCGTGGTAGAGACGGACGTGCTGATAACGCCCGCCCACAAAGAAGGTACCCGGATGCCATGTGCTATCGTGGGACGTTTTTGTGTTGTGCCAGTCCATTATGTTAATTAAGGAAATTGGTGTCATTAAAAAAAAGTTATGAATAAAGGGCCCTCTTTATTCACGCCGGTATCCAGGCCGGGGTGGTTCGGATAACCACGTAAAGGGGTCTGTTTATGTGAAAAAAAAACCAAAAGGTCTCCCATAAGCGTCCGACGACCCTTATTTAGATAGGAAAAGTAGGTCGAGTGGCACCTTGTTTTAAAGGTCTTTCGAATACCTTTACAACTCTGTTAAAAGAAATTTTTTGTAACAATTAGTTTTCGAGATAATTTGAAGTTAAAATTGCCATGTTAATAATACATTAGACAGACCACTCGGTAACTTTTAATTTTCGAGCAGTTCTTCTTATCAGTTTTTTGTTAAATAAAATCCCTTTTTTAAAATCAATACCCATTCCTCTTCTTCCAGTTTTCATTAGTACACCTAAGCAGAAATCACGTTCTGGATTTGGTCACAAAATTCAGGGAGACAGGTTCGGTTTCAAATAAGAAAAGAAATGTTCAGAGAAGGGTAGTGAATGACGATAATGCAATTGGAGTGATTGGTCAAGTCATCGCCAATCCCAGGTTAAGTACCAGAGGTTTATCAGCAATAGCCGAAATAAGCCATATGAGCGCATGGAGAATCCTTAAAAACCACAAATTCCATCCTTACAAAATTAAACTTGTTCATGAACTCAATGAGAATGATTTTGACCGAAGACAGGAGTTTTGTGAGAGCATGAGTAAGAGATTAATGCAATATCCCGAGCTACTTTATAACATCTGTTTTTCGGACGAAAGCTCATTTTATTTCATTGGTTGCGTGAACCGTCACAATTGCCGTTATTGGTCGGATGAATACCCAAGACAATATGCAGAAATACATACCCAACATCCCCAAAAGTTGAATGGCTGGGCCGGAATATTGTGGGCAATCATATTATAGGTCCATTTTTCATTGATGGAAATTTAACCGGTGATTCTTATTTACAACTTCTTGAAGAGGCAATACAACGTCGTATAGTTGAAATAATTGAACAGGATCCAAGATGTCAAGATGAATGTATCCATTATCAACAAGACGGTGCACCACACTTAGTGATTAGTGAGTCCTAATCATGAAACCACCAAACTGATTTACAAAACTATTACTTTTACTTCAATAGTAATGTATGAATCAGCTGATTAGTCTTTAGAAAATGTATTTTTGATAGTAATCAATATACGAGTATACAATTTGAAATTTATAACAAAAAACTCTGAAAACGTTTCATTTAAATGGGAGAAACGAAGATTGGAAGTGTTAAAAACCGTGTCTCCGGCGGGAAAAATCTCATCGTTCGAAAATACCCAAAGAGCCATAAAGTGCATAGTGGGTCGTGAAACAAAAGGCTCACGCAGTTCAATTGTGGTCGAGGTTAGGAAAGTTCATTATTGCTGATTAGTGTACTCTAATTGTGGTCTCTACGTTCCCAAATTGAAGCACTTCTGAGGAGAGACCAGTGGCGGATTTAAAAAGGGGGCCCCCGAAAAAAAAATTGTAGACAAAAAGAAACACATTTTTCTGTGTCGTTATCAACACAACAATTCATCTGCTTTTAGGGTCCCACCAATAAAAGATGGACACCCATCTGAAACGAAATTATATCCACGTCATTGGAAGAGACGGTATACAATGTGTTTGGCTGCGGTTTGGTTGATAGATTCTCCTAAATTAATTTAAAAATATTTCAAAATTGTCATTTCCTGGTTAATCAATACAAGTAGAATTTTTCTGTCAAAATTTTGAGACAATCATCTCGTAACCAATAAAGCACATTAGAAACGCGAAAAAATCAACATATTGTATTTATGTTACAGCTTTTTTCAGGATGACTTCTCACATTCGGCCGCTGATAATATTCGGTCCATCCGGTTCAGGAAAAGGCACCTTGGTGGCCAAAATGCTAGAAGATTTTCCCGATAAATTTGGATTTTCCATAAGCCACACTACCAGAAAACCTCGGCCTGGAGAAAAACACGGTGTTCATTATTATTTCACCGACGAGGACACTATAAGAGAGGGTATCGAGAAAGGGAATTTTCTTGAAAGTGCTGTATACGGTGGAAACATATACGGAACCAGCAAGGCAGCAGTTGAAGATATAGCCAAACAAGGTAAAAAATATTTACATTACAAAAAACTTCAATAAAGTAATATTTATAATTACTACTCTTATTATGTGAAAGCTATTTTCCGGGTTTTTCGGTCTACAGGCTTGTATGCCTGACGTTTCGTCTACAACTGCGGTAGATATTATCAATGGCGATGTGGTAACGGTCGCAGTGCCCGAATTGGTGCTACTGATGCCGATGTTAGGAACGTATACGAACGTATAACTACTTGAACTCCCTCACTCTCCAGCTATATTTTTGTTTCTCTTGCAGGGAAAGTCTGCGTACTAGAAATAGATGTGCAGGGAGTGAAACAAGTGAGAAACACCGACTTGAACCCGTGGAGTGTTTTCATCAAGCCGACGTCCCTGAACGAACTAAGAGAACGATTGATAAAAAGAAAAACTGAGAGCGAGGAAAGTTTGCAGAAACGGCTCAGTAAAGCAGCAGAAGAAATAGAGTATGGAACCACCCCAGGAAATTTTGACAAGATTATTATTAACGATGATTTTGAGACTGCATATCAGGAGTTAAAGCAGTTCGTTGTTGATAATGTTTTAAAAGATGATTAAATATGAAATTGTCAGTAGAAAAATGTGCTGTTTTTTTAAATGAATGAGCATCATAAAAAATCAATACCTAACAGATAAATCATGTGTTGTGGCTTTCAATGAATTGATTTGAACGATGTAAGGAGTGTTTTGGTAGTAATAAAAAAATCGTAAAGGAAAAAATTTAATATAAATTAGAAGACCTATTGTATAAGAATCATACTTCAATCATGTGGTTTCACACCAGCACTGTTCATAGGTGTGGAATGCTATGAAAATACATCGCTTTCGAAATAAAGGGATTCAAAAACTCTGGTATAATGTAAAAAATTGTAGGTGACACAATATTATATGATAATAACCTGAAACTATTTTCATACGAAACTCCTTCGTTGTAAAACTACTAATTATTAGTAGTATTAGTCGATCATCACCTGTTAAAAGTACCATTTTCAGATGATTTAACAATATGCTTAGCATGGACTGGTTATTAGTCATATTAGGAAACGCTAGTTGAAGTTCCAGAAATTCAGTTCCAGCAAAATATTTACAAACACAAGACGAGATATACTGAACGGAATCATTCAATCCAGAGCGGTCAGGGGTATTGATTCTGCTATTGTTTTGCTCACGAAGAGTATTTACTCAACAAGAACCCCAAAAATTCGGAACGATCCATTTGTTCTGGTGGACTTCAAAGACTCCAGGAAATCGGTTGGAGGGAAAGATGATACATTCTTACGAAACTGCAGCTGCATTAACAGGTATTCGAGTTTGCTGAATAAGTAGGAAACATTTTTGTTCTCGTTCATCATTGAAACCTCGTTCTTGAAATTCTTCGTCATGAACAACACTTGTAAAATGCTATTCATGTAGCAATTGTTTGCTAAATTGTCTAATCCATATTAAATAAACAATATGGAATAACTCATATTTCTAGCAAACCGTGTTAGGAATCACACGTTAAAAGGTAAGACCTCGTTAGTCCTTAGCTCGCACAAGTTTCTCAACTTCTGAGATTTGTCGTTCGTATGGGGGCGGCAGCTGATTAACGGAGAAACAGATTTTAAACAGACTTTTTTAAACAGATCTAGCAAGCTCAGCTTGTATTGTGTCCTTCAGGCTGCTAAGTTTTATCAAGAAAAATATAATAAAGATATTAGTGTAAATCTGTCTAATACGGTAATATAGTTTGGTTTTGAAAAGATAAGTTGAATAGAGACACATAGTAATTGAAACACACAAACAGTTGTGTTTCAAGACATAAATACGATATTTTTCAATGAAGAATGCCGTAATTTCATCAAGACCAGGAGAAGTCTTATTTTTTAGTTCCGATATTGTCTATATGATTTCATTTTCTGTTACCGGCTGAAGAAACTGCAAAGTAAACAAGTGAGGATTTTTCCAGCAAAATATTTACAAACACAAGACAAGATATACTGTACGGAATCATTCAATCCAGAGCGGTCAGGAGTATTGATTTTGCTATTGTTTTGCTCACGAAGAGTATTCAACAAGAACCCCAAGAATTCGGAACAATCCTCTTGTTGTCCTAGTGGGCTTCAAAGACTCCAGGAAATCGGTTGGAGGGAAAGATGATACATTCTTACGAAACTGCAGCTGCATGAACAGGTGTTTGAGTTTACTGAATAAGTAGGAAACATTTTCGTTCTCGTTCATCATTAAAACCTCGTTCTTGAAATTCTTCGTGATAACAACACTTGTAAAATGCTATTCATGTAGCAATTGTTTGCTAAATTGTCTAATCCATATTATATAAACAATATGGAATAACTCATATTTCTAGCAATCTAGCAAGCTCAGCTTGTATTGTGTCCATCAGGCTGCTAAGTTTTATCAAGAAGAATATAATAAAGATATTAGTGTAAATCTGTCTAATACGGTAATATAGTTAGGTTTTGAAAAGATAAGTTGAATAGAGACACATAGTAATTGATGTAAATATAGATATGATTAGGATATGGTAATTTAGAGATATACCTAGAGGTATTGAGGTATACAGGGCCAATGCTTGTGATACTTTTAGCTTGGTTTGTAATAATTCGTATATTATGCGTGAGATTGATTATATTGGTCCAGTATTTTCATATAGGGAGTCAGTTGGATATCTTCTATTTTTTCTAATAACTATTTTAATTGAAATGATTTGAATTATATCTGAACTATGTGAGGATGTTTTTAATAACCCACCCCAGACAACGATACAATAGCGTATGACTGACTCAGTCAATGCCTTATGAACGAGCAAGAACATTTCGGTGATGATAAAATGTATAAATGAGTTTTCAAAGTCTTTTCACCGTATACTCTACGTGGTGGTTCCAGCTTAGTAATTGTTCAATCATGATACCCAAGTACTATTTATTTCAGGACTAGTGCAATTTACTTTTCCTGGACTTGCGACTTTGTGGATTGAAAGGTTTTTTTGATTGCTTAAATTAAGTCTCAGTAGATTAGTACTTAGCCAGGAGTAAATTTGTTTCATGCCAGTTCCTGCTTTTCCACATACTTCTTTCCACGTTTCACCTACGAATATTACAGCCGTATCATCACCTTAAGACGTTAGAATTTTTAATATTGAAAATATTATTAACATACATTAAAAATAGTATGGGGTCCATGACAGTTCCCTGCGGCACACCCATTATAAACTCTAGTGGATCACAATAGGAATTATTGATTTTTAATATCTGAATTATGTTTGATAAGTAATTAATGAATAAATTTAATGCTACTCCTACGCGTATCAATCGCCTTGGACAGCTTGTTCTGTCGAAAATTTTTCTCTAAATCCATAATGCGAAGTGAAAATGATATTATTGTTGTTGAGAAAATTTGGTAATTTAGGTTTTAAACATTTTTCTAATATTTTGGCGAAGTTATTTATTACTGAAATAGGTGTATAGTTATTTGTTTATCACCAGTTAAAAAATCAGAATTATGATAGATTCTTCAAAGTTAGACGGGATCTTTCCAGATAGAATAACTGAGTTCGAAATAAAACACAACTGTTTCAAGATATAAATACGATATTTTTCAATTTTTCAATGAAGAATGCCGTAATTTCATCAAGACCAGGAGAAGTCTTATTTTTTAGTTCCGATATTGTCTATATGATTTCATTTTCTGTTACCGGCTGAAGAATATAATTGTTACGTTTGAAAAGTTATTGAAGTTTTTCATGAAATTTAATTTATAAATTTATGTAGTATATGATTCGAGAGCTTTTATCAAAAAGCTTTCTTCACATGAAAATGATTGCTTGTACAGAAATCCAGTTAAATGAACCAATAAGCTAGCTCAGCACGAAACTGATAATTTCCTTAGTTTAATAGTTATGGAGATCGTTCAGCCAGAATTTCGAAAAAAAAGGTATATTCAACAAAATGTTCATCAGTTTCCNTATATCATTGCGCGTTGTCTTGGGGTAAATATTATTAAGCACTAACTAGCTGGTTGGTGACACATACTGTAGATTTCATCAGATATTTCGACAAAAAAATTATCTGCTCTCAAGTTTTAATGTTTTTGGTTTTACACTTGAAAGAGGGGGAACATTTTCAAAAAACTATAAATTTAAACATTTTAAAAAAGAATATCTCGAAATGTATATAATACATGTGCGATTCTTTCAGACATCTGTTGAAGGGTTGAGCTCAATCAAGTTTTTGAAACGATAATCTACCAAAGAAATACTTTTCCGTAAACGTGGGTTATTATTTGTTCGTCAAAACATGAAACTATCATTGTTATGACAATGCGAATACTTTTACGTGGGAATTCTTATGACGTCAGTTAGTTGTTTAAAGGTTCGTAATCTATAATTGGTTGGGCACAACTGATAACTATGAACTATAATCCTCATTTATGTTTCATTTTCACCGATTCTTTNTTACGTGGGAATTCTTATGACGTCAGTTAGTTGTTTAAAGGTTCGTAATCTATAATTGGTTGGGCACAACTGATAACTATGAACTATAATCCTCATTTATGTTTCATTTTCACCGATTCTTTTGTTCTCTCTCTCTCTGTCAATAAAACGATTATAAAAACGAAAGATTCAACATGAAAAATTGTTATGACCTGTAATAAATATATTAAAATCTATTTTTTGCCTAAGTTAACAGTACAATTATCGCAGTGGATCAGCTTAGTGTAAAATACACCTTACGTTCTCCTGATTATTTCCTATGACGTAAAAAAATGAGAAAGTTCAAAGCTAGACAGGCTTTTGTGGAATTCAAATTAATATAAATAAGTGTACTTCTGAAATTTTAAAAATTTTACTTCGTTTTCAAGCACAATTCCTCAACTACCGTCTTGGGATTTTCATTAAAACCCCGAGTCATTCACTTATAAGAATTTCAAATGATATGAGTAGGTATGCACACATTTTAACCATTTAAACATGATTTTTTACTTGAGAAAGCGGAAAAACGGCCTTCAGTGTACAGAAAAACTATAAAAAACGTTAATACTTCTTAAAAAAATTACATGTTTTTTCACATCATCGAATTTTTCATTTCCAAACCAACGATCTAACATGTATTTCTGAAGATAAATGGCGAAAGAACAACAATTGTAACATTTTCCAAATACAGCGAAATTCTTTAATGTCCCTCCCCTTTTATTTTTTGAAGGAGTCAACTAAAAAAATTTAAATTTGGGATAATGAAATTAATGCATGAATACTTTATTTTGAAGTGAAATTGACAGATGCAACTTTCAAGATGGCGACTGGGCGTCATCTTGAAGCTCCTGACGAATACTTCATAACCTTAGAATATGAAGTCAATATCTTCACCTACCTACTACAAAATGGCGGAACAAAGGTACAAAGGTACTACGTCAACAATCTCTGAAATGGTCAATGCTCGTCCATTGGAAGAAAAAATTGAAGCGATTTTTATTTACGGTGCGACGCGTAACTTTCATGAGACCGAAAGGATTTTCAATGAACGTTGTCCGAGTATCATCCATACAAAATTGAAATGGTACACCAATCAACTGAAGATGAACC